TTCAGACAAGATGACTTTTTCACTGGAGGAAGCAATATTTTGGATAGAGGACTCATATTTTAGCGGGAAGCATCAGATTGAAATTAAAAACAGCTTAATGATGGATTTGTTTCTTATAAACATGCAGCTTTTCACTTCACAAGTCATTAACTGATGGATTGGAGTGGTGTGGTTTACTTGTGGATTATTGTGATGTTTTTATCAGCTGTTTGGACTCTCATTCTGACGGCACCCATTCACTGGATCCATTGCTGAGCAAGTGATATAATGCTACATTTCTCCACAACTCTGTTCCAATCAAGAAACAAACTCATCTTGGATGGACTGAGGGTCGATACATTTTCAGCAAATTTTCATTTTTGGTTGAACTATTCCTTTAAATTAAAAACAGTTTTTTTTAAAGCATGTAAGACCTTAAAGGCATTGGGGTTATTGTACACATCAACTTTATTCCTACTGATCCAAGTGTTTTAAACTGATCTGGTTTTGTATTCATCTATTTAAATGCAGTTTATGCCTTTTTAAATTGAAGCTGGTAAATTCAATGCACAACCTGACTAATGTAAGGCCACTTTTGCTATAACTTTCTTTGAGTGAAGAAATGAAAAGATCTCTGATATTAGACTGAAGGTCTTTCAGGGGTTTCAGGTGTCAGATGGCAAGCTTGATTTAAATCATTTAAACTTTAAAAGCTTCTTGCAGAACATTATCATTCAGAGACTCACAATCTGGATGTCTGTAAACCTGCGGTCGGTGTGTAATTAGCGCAGCTGTAAGCGCTTTGCTTTTGTTCCTCCTGCAGCAGCGTCTAAGACGGGGGGCGTTCGCTTCGCTGAGGAACCCGCTGCGGCTGCCACCGCTCACTCTCATGTGCATTTTGACGAGAAACTGCACGACTCCGTCGTCATGGTGATACCCGAATCAAACGGGAACTTCCTGGTTAAGGTGAGAGCTAATTAAATTGCTGGGATCGTTCATTAGCTTAATTTGAAGGTCTTCAGTCACGAATATGAGTTCATATTACAGGAAGAACATTGATTTTATTTCTCTGCTCACATCAAAGTTTCAGCTTCTTTCCTTTGGTCAGCATGTGCTACTTGACTTCTAGCCTTGTTATTATGTGAAAAGACAGTGACAGAACTCATGCCAGGAGCCGTTCCAGCTGTATCTGGGATTTCAAGAGGAAAAACAGGATCATGAAATGACACAAGCCAGATTTGAACTGCATCGCCTACATATGAGCAGCACATGTCAATATGTCAGAGCATGTGCACTGACCGCTACACCACAGCTTTGACGAGACAGTTTTTTAACTATGATTAATTGTTTTCAATTTTTTTTGGTGCAGTGCATTGCCATCAAGCTTTTTATTAGTGGGTCTCACTAAGGCAAGCTATTTAAACAAATACCCCTTACTTTTAAGCTGTGCAACTCATTTTGTAATGTGTGAAGCTGAATGATATCTCAAATCATGCTGCTTGCTCAAGAGAAGTGCAGATGTTACTTTTCTAAGTGATCAGGCTTAGTTTTTTTTTTAGAACATCTTGCATAGATGGAAGGATGGATGGATGGAACAATGGATAGAACGAACCATGGATGGATGGATGGGTGGATGGATAGATCAAACGATAGCTAGATGGAATGAGTGATGGATGGAACAATGCATAGAATGAACGATTGATGGATGGATGGATGGATGGATGGATGGAATGAACGAAAGACGGATGGATGGATGGGATGAACAATTGATGGCTGGCTGGATGGATGGAATGAAGGATGGATGAATGATAGAAAGAACAATGGATGGATAGAATGGTGGATTAATGGATGATAGATAGAATGATGGATGAATAGAATGATGTATAAAACAATGGATGCATAGAACAAACGATGGATGGATGAATGTATAGAATGATGATAGATGGAATGAGTGATGGATGGAACAATGCATAGAATGAACGATTGATGGATGGATGGATGGATGGATGGATGGAATGAACGAAAGACGGATGGATGTGATGAACAAACAATTGATGGCTGGCTGGATGGATGGAATGAAGGATGGATGAATGATAGAAAGAACAATGGATGGATAGAATGGTGGATTAATGGATGATAGATAGAATGATGGATGAATAGAATGATGTATAAAACAATGGATGCATAGAACAAACGATGGATGGATGAATGTATAGAATGATGATAGAGCAAAGGATGGATGGAACGATGGATGGATGGATGAATGAATGGATGATGGATAGCATGTTGGATGGATGGATCAAACGATGGATGATGGAATGATGAATAGATCGAAGAATGGATGGATAGCATGATGGCTGGATGGATGGATGATAGAAAGAACAATGGATGGATGGATGGATGGATGATAGAATGATGGATGGATGGAACAATGTCTAGAACAATGGATGCATAGAACAAGGGATGGATGGATTATGGAACGATGGATGGATGGATCGAACAAAGGATGGATGGATGGATGGATAAAATAATGGATAGAATAATAGATGGATGAATGAATGGATGATGGATAGAATGTTGGATGGATGGATCAAACGATGGATGATGGAATGATGAATAGATCGAAGAATGGATGGATAGAATGATGGCTGGATGGATGGATGATAGAAAGAACAATGGATGGATGGATGATAGAATGATGGATGGATGGAACAATGTCTAGAACAAGGGATGGATGGATGGAATGATGATGGATAGATGCAGGCATAGACTGAAATAATTTTTTTTTTTAAATATATAAAATTAATTAAATTTTAGCACATTGCATAATCTAAGCATTATGCTTTAAGCTTTCAAATATAAATCTTATAAATAATTTAAAGTTAAATTTATATACTTATTTAGCTATTTTTTTCTTTTTTTAATTTAGTATATTTGTTTCGTATCTTTTTTTTTTTTTGATGGATGATAGAAAGAACAATGGATGGACAGAATGATGGATGGATGGATGGATGATAGATAGAATGATGGATGATGGATAGAACAAACAATGGATGGATAGAATGATGGATGGATGGAACAATGTATAGAACAAGGGATGGATGGATGGAATGATGATGGATAGATGCAGGCATAGACTGAAATAATTTTTTTTTTTTAAATATATAAAATTAATTAAATTTTAGCACATTGCATAATCTAAGCATTATGCTTTAAGCTTTCAAATATAAATCTTATAAATAATTTAAAGTTAAATTTATATACTTATTTAGCTATTTTTTTCTTTTTTTAATTTAGTATATTTGTTTCGTATCTTTTTTTTTTTTTTTACTTTTGTTTACTAGAATGTTATTGTTATAATTCAGTCTGTGTTTGTTTTTTCATTAAAAAAGGAATGTGTATTATGAAAGTAAACAGGATCTATTTTGATATCATGTCGACTCTTAACATGTTTTTAATAGTTTACTGAAGCTCCACTCTCACAAGTTGCTTCTTGTTGTTTTGAGAACAGTGACTTTTTGAACATATTTGATGGCACAGAGACTCAGTGTTTGCGATCCTCCTACTCGCTAATATCTAAGAGACAAGATACACAATCATGCTTGCATTCACTCTGCAGCGGGTGTCATATTCTCTGACACTTTTCATTGCAGATGTCTCTCTCAAACTGCCCTGTTAGTGCCCCTTGTTGCCATGGAGACCAGCTACAGCGCCGTCGGGCAGTATATAAACACCTGTACCTCTGGCCTGTGTCTGTTCTGTTTGATTATAGCGTTTTTGATGAGGGCTCTGGTCAGATAAGACGTTATTTGATTCTGTCATCCTTCACTGAGACCCAGATGCAGTTTGATGTTTCCTGGCATGAGTTCTGTCACTGTCCTTCCCACTTTTCCAGTTCCCTTTGTTTTTATTTCAAAATATCATCCTGATTTCCTTCCTTGGTTAGTAAGATCTTTAAGTAATGAACATTAAATCTGACAAACTTTTTTAGGGCTGTGAAACAGTCAAATAATGGATTATAGAATAGATTTTCAATGTCTTTCATGCTCCTAAAATGAAGATCTCATTGACTTACATTACAGGCTATCAGGATTTCATCTTATTTTTTGATCATCTAAATATCAGCATCTACATTAAATTGCATAGTTTTTCTCTATTTGGGCATCTGGATAGATTCAACTGCTCCATTAAAAAAAAAAAAAGATTTTTATTATTTCAAATGTCAGCCTTTATTGGGTTACAAAGCCAACTATGATTGTATAAATTATTGTTTGATTGGTTCTAAATTCATTGAATTAAGTTGACTATGATTTCATCATTGGTTCATCAAGGCTGATTTCGTTAATGATATCAGCTATGTCATCAATGAAGCAATCAACTATGATTCATAAATGAAAGTCAACTAGGGATTCATAAATGAGTAAACCGTAATCCATACAATGATTTCATCACTCTGCTAAGATTTCATTAACATCATTTATTGCGGTAAACTATGATCTCAGATCAAGTGCAAACAACAGACTGACTCATAATTCTGGTGTCTCATAAATCTCATATCATCATAAACCTGCTGACACCCAACCATAACCTCTCTGCTTCTCTCCATCTCCTCAGGTGGGCTTCCTGAAAACACAGCACCGATATGAGATCGTGTTCACACTGCCGGAGATGCCAGAGCTCGGGAAAGACGTGTGTCCAGCCCCCATCCCCAATCCTCACCTCCGTATCACTAACATAACGCCGTCCTCAGACGGTACGTCCCATCGCTCGAGGTTCTGACCCAAAACAGCTGAACCTGTTGATGAAGACTTGTGTGACTTACTGCAGTGATTCCCAAACGTTTTTTGTCAGCCAAACACCTTTGACCTACAATATTTCCTTTCCCATTTTTTAAGTGTGCCTTAACTGTTCAAATCCTTTAGGCATATTGAACCCCTTATATTAGCTGCTACCCACCTTTTTCTATGGGTTTGGCTTCTAGTCTCATCCACGTCCAGCTATTTTTAGCTGTACAAAACGTTCGTTTTGCTGCTTGATATTGAAAATCGGTGTGTCTTACCATATAATTTTAATGTATTATCTTAATTGTGAACACACTGGTTTGTAGTGCAAACAGTTTGACCTTTTACTGCACGTTGTTATTCTTCTCGTTATTTCCCCATAGCGGTTAATGAACCGGAAGCCTTGCCCATGGACTTACTTCTGCGTTGAAGAAAAAGGTGGATAGCATAGGCTACTATTGTAGAAATTAGTAGATGTTTATTCTAGTAGCGATGATGTTGAACAATCTTAAAAATGGTTTATTGTTGGTATTGATGGTTCCATGAAGAAACATGAACATCCATGAAAACTTTCCGTTCCACAAAAGGTTCTTTATAATGGTAAAATGTTTCTTTAGATGATTAAAATGTTCTTCACGCTAAGACAAAAATAGTTTTCACTGATAAGTTTTTTGTGGAACAGAAAATGGTTCTTCTATGGCGTCGTTGCCTTTTGGAAACTTTCTTTATAAGAGACTTTTACAATGGCATTCGCACATACAGATCGCAAATATGGCTGAGCCTCACGTGCTCTTAAGAATAAAACTACTCTGAGAGCCATACAGCATATTCCAGCGAATGGCCCTCACAACCGGTTTCCACCAGTTATTTCTATGAGTTTATTTAATGAGAAAAAATGAACGAGTGCTCTATGATCACCGGTCTACAAATGCTTCTTCAACAAGCGTGAATCACCGCATAGTGCTACTGAATACGCAAATCACTGAATGCTTTGAATGCTGTGGCTCTGCTGACGAAAAACACTCTTTACTGTTTAAACTGGTGCTCATTTGAGAGTATTGGCGTGATCAATTAAACAAATAGATACATAGGCTATATGGTATTTATTTACAGGCATTAAAATAACAGAGGATTTATGGTTTACCGCGCAGATGAGTAGCTTAGCCTGTGTGTTCTGTGAGACATCTAGACATTTTTCAGTGAATACCGTTCTCGAAGTACAGAGAACGCTCTTGTGAATTTAAAACACTGATCTATAATAGAGAACATTATATATATAGGCTAGATATATAGATCAGTGGTTTAAAAACGCGAGAAGCATGGCACTGGATTCTCAAGACGTGTTTTTAAATGTTGAACTTGTGTGTTCAAGAAACGCAGCGCTGAAATGGCAGCTCAGCGTCAGCAAATTTTATCTAGCGCATATTTACATAGAAAAGTTTTATCTAGCGCATATTTGCATAGAAAAACAATGGAAGAGCAGCGTAGTAGAATGGGAAAAGCGTTCTTTGTGAACGGCCACTAAACCGTTGAATGAACCAAAGTATGGGAAACCATACTTCATTAAATGGTAACTACTGTGTTCATACTATGAGTGACCCACTCTTAACATGTCAATTTATGGCTCAATACCGTTACGGTGCATTTCCACTAGCAAGCGCAGCGGAGTGAGCGTTTTCAATCCATTCCTATAGAAGTTGAGCTTAAACGCTCGCACGGTGCATTATGGGATTGAAAGCAGCTCGGAGAAAGCATTGAGAGCGTCAAAAAGTTTGGGCATTTCTCGACTTTATGCAAATATCGAGCGACAAACGCCGGGCGACAACCAATCGCTGTGAAAAGTAGGCAAGGCAAGATTTTGACATGGTTCCAAGTGTTTGCTGAACTGGTGGATTACTGAGCTGAAATCACTTGTCGTTGAAAAAGTCATATGCAAAAGTAAATGCACTTTGCATGCTTTCATTATAACCGCCATTAAAAGAAGAAGATGAAACGCAAACGGGGTGTAAACACTGTTTTCAGAGACGTGCTCTGCCCTAAATTTGACATGCCCCAAAGCAGTGGCGTTGTAGCGTTGCCAGCGGCACTGAGCGCAGATTTGACGCTGTAGTGGAAACGCACCATTAGTTTGGAGACTGGTGTATAGGGCTGCACGATTAATTGAATGCTATTGTCATGCGTATCTTGTCAGTAAAGCCAGTTCTGTGATTAGTAGTAAATCTCCAGCACGTGCTTTCCGCTGCTTCATCTGAAAGCACATGAAAATAGCACATTTAATAACGTTTTTACTCCAAACTCACTTCATAACGTCAGCCGAGTGTTGTATTTGGAGTTTTCGCGCGAGAGCGCCCTCTGGCCTTCGGATGGACATTTACTGCTGATCACAGAACCGTGCTTCACTGAAAG